ATAGAAATAATGGGCACAACTGTGTTGTACAATATCATGTATTTAAAGAGATTACACCTTACCTCCAATCTTCTGGAGGCCCTGCGGGAGCGAGAAACAGATAGTTTCCAAACTTCCAGTTGGCCTGTTTAGGGGCATTTTTTGCCCTCCCCAGCCTCCGAAGGCTTTCCTGAAGCCTGGGGAGGGTGAAAAACACCCCCAATGGGCCAACTGGAAATTTGGAAACAATCCATTATCATCATAATTCTTATTGATGTTGTTTTGTACTGATTTATGATGGAAACAATATCTCCAGCTTCCGGAGGGCCTCTGGGGGGCTGGGGGCAGTGGTGGGTTCCAGATCCTGTTTCAACCGGTATGGTGCAACAGGGCCGGGCGTCCACCACATGAATGCATGCACATCCGTGTACATGCATACTTGCCACCCGCGACGCTCTGCAAAGCCTCTGCAATGCTTCAGCTGCTCAGCGGAGCGTTGCACAAGTGCCATACGCTCCGTGCGGAAGCCCTGAACAGCTCAAATACCAGTAAGGAGGACGGGCGGGTCGGCAGGCCCTCTGGAGCACCATACTGGAACGGTACCTGTTGCTCCCAGAAGGCACCAGTACACCCGTACCTGGGGGTACCGGTCATATCCCACCACTGCCTGGGGGAGGCTGTTTTTGTCCTCCCCTGGCTTCAGAACCTGGGTGGGGGGGTTGTGTATGCAGGCGTGGGGTGTGTGTTGCATGTGCATGCGCAGGTGGGCGGGGAGCATTAATTGGTGTGGACATGTGCACACACAATTTTGGTACTCCATAAGAAAAAGGTTCACCATCACTGACCTAGGGGAAAAGACTGTTGTTGGGAGATAAATGTAATTTTTTGGAGTAAGTTATCACCACTGTTTTAGTTGGGGGTAGTCCTCTATTCTTTTCCGTGGACTTTCAGAAAACATAATGAATGGAATTGTGGTAGGACTCTTGCCTCCTTAAATTGTTAGATCTGTGAGGTGGTACAGTACTTAAATGACTAAGACACAAAGAACGCCTCTATTTATAAAAAAACGATTCAAATAATTTCCTTGCTAGTGGCTTACAGCCACTATTTTAGAGTCCTCAGTAATGGTGATAGGCTTTATAAAATGTCAACAATGGTTGGATGTTGTGTGAAGTTTCTATAAGTTACAAGTGGGAAAATGACTGAAGGAGAATACATCCCAATTGGCAACTGGGGAAAAAACATATGGAAAGTAGAAATGTAGCATACATTTTTCATAAAAAATATGACCTAATCAGTGGTGGGTTCCTAACCAGTTTACTACTGGTTTTCTGAGAGGGCATTTTGCATGTGCGCTGCTCACTTCATTCATGTGCATGCATGTCGTGCATTGTTGTGCATGCACATTTCACTGAAAAGTGTTCTGCGCATGTGCAGAAAATTGCCAGTGACAGCAGAAAAGTCCCGGGAACTGGTTCAGGGATGTGGCAGGCATGGGTCGCTGCCGGTTCCAGTGACCCAGGCCACCATACCACTACTGGTTCGTCCGAACCGGTCCAAACTGATAGGAGCAACCACTGGACCTAATATAGGAGCAACCCAAAATACATTAAATAATTATTCTTAGCCTTTCCCCCACCATTGGAATGGGAGCTGAATAACCTCTTTCCTAAATTGTGTTATGTCTTTCTTTCTTAGTAATATTTTAGAAACATGTAGATAAGTGCTTCAAGACCTGATTTAGAAATACAAGATCAACAGTGTAGTAATACAACAAGTTAAGCAAGCTTATTGTGCTCAGTTAGACAGAGTTCATTGCAAATTGACAATTACATTGTAGTTTATATAATCCTTTTAAGAAATGTACAGTCCTAACTAAGCCCTTCTTGCGAAGGGAGATGATTGGGGGACTGACGCAGAACAGGAAAAGCTGGTAACGTGAACAGACCTGACACTACTTGCTAAGATCACAGAAACACAATAAATGTCACAAATATTGAGGAGGAAGTAAATAAATGGGTTTTGTTCTAATTCATGGTTGAGAAAACCAGGAGCCCATCCTTTAAACATCACTTCTATTTTGAGTTTTCAAACCAACAACTAAATCGGTTGACTCAGGTTTTTCCCCCCTCAACAAGCAAAATACCAACTCTGTTGTGTCCTGATATTAAGTCCTGTTGGGTAACACAATACTTAATTATAGGTTATTTCTAAAACAATTGCTTTTCCTGTGAAGCGCTGAAGGCATTACATTTACAAGGAAGCTGAATATCAATTTATACTGCATTCAAATTTAGGGAAATAGAATCACCTTGCTTCTTCTATCTTCTACCTCTTTTCCTTTCTCATCTCCTCTTATGCATTCATTTGATGGTGGTATAACATGGTAATAAATAAATAAAGAAACAAATAAATAAGATGGTAGTATAAGTCTTCAATAGTACAAATTAAAATTAACCATATCCTTGTAATGAGGATTTTAAGCCAAAGTTTGAAAGCTTTTAAGCATGCATCATGGTTAGTAGACATGGTGAAGGCCATCAGAGGTTAAGGATTTCCCCTCAAGTCAACCTTGAATCCAAATCAAGGTTGACTCAACCTTCCATCCTTCTGAGGACTGTAAAATGAGGACCCAGATGGTTGGGGACAATCGGCTGACTCTGTAAACCACTGAGAGAGGGTTGTAAAGCATTGTGAGGTGGTATATAAGTCTAAGGGCTATTGTTATTAGGGCTATAGGCTAGACTGGGAATTCTGAAAGACATCCTGGCAATCAAACAAACTCCATAATATTGCCAAGCATACTATATGGTCTAATTCAATCAGTGGTGGGTTTCAAAAATTGTTTGAACCTACTCTGTGGGTGTGGCCTCCTTTGTGGGAGTGGCTTGCTGCCCATGTGACCGGATGGGAAGCACCTGAAAGCAGGACAAGAATCAATGGATGGAAACTCATCAAGGACAAAAAAATATTT